TCTTTTGTTTATTAAGATTATATACACAATCAAAAATCAAATCTATGATATATTAACCAGTTTTAAGTATACAGTGACAAGTTTTGGTCATTATATACAGTTGTATAATCCCCACCACAATCAAGATACAGATCAGTCCCCTCACCCTAAGATGCTGGCTTAGGTCCCTGTGCCCTCACTCCCCTCCCCTGACCACAGGCCTCAGGGAAACACTACAGTTTTGCCCTGGCTCTGTTTCCTATAAACGGAATCATACAGGACATCATCTTTTGTGTTTAACTTATTTGCCTTAGCATAAATACATGGCTTTTATACCATAGGCAGCGTTTCCATCCTGGGGTGGGCCGACCGTGGAGCTTGGGGGCTTCGCAGCACATCATTCCACCGTCCCAAGGCAGGATGCTGGCATACCAGGCACTGCCTTGTATCTAATACGGTAAGACCCAGTCTCCGTCCTGGAGAGGCTCCCCCGCAAGCTGGGAGAGGGCAGGAATGAGGAGAGCTTCCAGAAAGGCTTGTGTTTGTTTTTTGAGCTGGTGTCCTGCTATGTCACCCAGGCTGGAGTGGCTATTCACAGGTGCGATCACAGCTTACTGCAAGCCTTGAACTCCTGGGCTCAAGCAATCCTCCCGCCCCGGCCTTCCGAGTAGCTGGGACTACAGGTGCATGCCACCGTGCCCAGCTCCTGAGGAGACTCTTGGAGTTGACCAGGAAGGGCAGGATTTCACAGTGGTCAGAGCAGCCTAGATGTGGAAGTAAGGAGGTGGCCTGCGCTGCAGTGCCTTCGGACTGCACCGCGGGGCTCGGGCTCATGTGCAGCAGTTCACATCACCCATCTTCCACTCCCTCAAACTGGGCCTGAGTGCAGGTCTGCGTCTGGGAGATCAGTGCTGATGCCTGAACTGTTGGGAGCCTGCCCTGACCATGTCTTCACCCTCGGAAGCCTCCTGGGCAAGTAGTGCCATGTCCATTCCAGCATGGTGAGTGCCAGACCCTTTCCCAGCACCCTCAGAGAGGTACAACGGCAGGCAGAGCCTCGACCTGCAGCTGTCCCACCTTCTTGCACAGCAACATGAGGGCTCAGAGGCACACTGGGCCGGGGGCAGCCATCCATGCTGCAGCACAGACTGTATCAGGAACGGGCCAGATACCACACGTGCAATGCAGCCCGCCTATGGGGCTCAGGCTGTAGCCTAGAGACATAAGGGGTTGCATGGCAGCCCAGGCTGCCTTCTTTCTCTAGTTTTCTCTAGTTCCTTGGACTCTGGGGTAAGGGAACAGACAGAAGGGACATTTATACATCTGAGAAGACTGCCCTCGGTCCTCCAGCCCCTAGTGAGATGGCCCAACTCTCACGTGGGTTTGCTCCACCAAGGAACCCTTGACCATGGGAACAATACTCCTGATTCTACTCCTGAACAGCCTGGGTACTTTTGAGATTCCTACCCACCCAACTCCTTCCTCCCTCCATCCAGTGTTTACTAAATACCTGCTATATGTGACATCCTGTGCAGAATTCTGGGCGTACAATGAAACAAAAGACGGTCTCTCACCCCAGGAAGCTCACCATTTAGCAAAGGAGACAGAGAAACATATGAGTAGCTAGACAGGGACCACGGCAGCAGGGAGGGCCCGAGCGATGGCACTGGAGTTGAGAGAAGGTCTGGTGTCCCTGTGATGGCAGGTGGGGGCTGATCTGAGGTTGAAGAGGCAGCTAGAGCATGGACCCCAAACAACACCCCTAGGAGTATGGGCTGTGACCCACAGGGGACAGGAAACTACAGACAAGTCTTGAGCAGGAAAATGACACACCAGAGTTGCATTGGGAACGAATCGCTCTGACATCCAGTGCCTTTTTGTCTTAAGTGCAGCTTGGTGAAGTTGAAGAGGAAGAACACAAAGGAGGAAGACAGGAACAGTTTTGAAGGGGTGACTGCATGCGTGACACTGTGCAGGTACAGTGTGCACAATATTTCAGCTAATCTCCTTTATTTCTGTTTGAATTCTATCTCTTCCACTCAGCTATGACCATAAACAAACGACTTGGCTTTTCTGAGACTCAGTTTCCTCATCTGGAAAATGGGGGTGATACTGATTCGTACTCTACAGGGTGCTTCTGAGGGGCCTTGAGAAAGACAGTGGGAGAACTTGGTGCACTCTGAGATCTGGCCCTGTGAGCCTACCTGCACTGACCTCTGGTGTTTATGACCAATGCTGTTGGCTGGGCATTCGTCACGTGCCACACTTACAATCCGTTAAATTTTAGATGGCTGTCTACTGGACCACGAGCTGCCTGAGCGCAGGGGCCACCTGCACAGAGCGGGCTGTCTGTGAAGCACCCAAAGCCCGTCCTAATTTCTTCTTACCTTCATCAGTTCTTGAAGTTTGGGGTCACTGCGTGAGTTTGGATCCACCATCGTTCGTACTTCATTCTCCTCTTTAAAAAGAAAACGAATTCAGTCGGGGTGGTTACACTCGAGAGCGCTAAGCAAATGCAGAGAGACAAGAGACACAGTTACCCAGCATCGTGTCCTCGGGGTCCAGCTCAAAGGGGATCGGGCTGAGGGGCAGGTTGATGGCATTCATTCCCTCCTCCTGAAGCTCAGAGACTGAAAGAGAAGGGAGAGCAGGGTCACGTGCCGCTGACCGATGGCAGGGGCTGGATCACTGTAGCAAGCGTGTTCAATATTGATACGGAGGGAAAAAAACCACTATGCTTAGATTACAGCCGTTACTCAGCCCAGAATCGATTCATGGCCTCGCCTTGCTGAAAGGACCTAACTGTCCGCTTAATCTCACCTCTTCCAACTGTCACCCCACTCGATTTCCTTGGAGAAACTGGGAGGTCTTAACAGCACAGAAATCTGCCTCCTCTCAGAAAAGATTTTGGAATAAACAGGAACAAGGCGGGAGACCGACTTCTTTCTGAAGTCGGGCCTCCTGTCCGGGGCACAGGGATACCCAGTGACTATTGACTGGACGGGCGAGGTCACCAGTTTGAGGCTCTGTGTGCACTGTAAGCTGTTTCCATCCTCCGTTCAACCCTCCTCTGACTTCTCTCCTGGTTTGGTTCCCTGAGGTACTTTTCTGATTATCTAGCCTCCCTCCTTTCTCTACCCAACCCCAGCTGCTGCTCAGAAACGCCTCTGTCCCGGCCTCTTCAGATCTAAGGGGCTATGGGTCCTGCAGCCAGGCGCCTCACCTCTCTAGGCCTGTTTCCTCAGCTGGAAATGAGGAGGTGGACTGGATGACCAGAAAGTTCTTGTACAGTGTTCGAATCCTAGAAATCTACATTCCACCTTCCTCAAGAAAAACAAAGAGGTCAATGACCCCTGAAGACCACCGGCCCACTCTGTTCCAAGTACCCAGCCCCCACACGGAGCCTTAGCACAAAAGAATTCCTCCCACAAAACCAGTTGTACGACCATACTTGATGAGTGTTGACCTTGGATTACCCCCTCCTAAAAGCAGTGACTTAAATCCCCTTACTTTTCACCAATTAAGCACAGATATGCCCTTTTCCCAGAAGGCATTTGTCACCAAGAGGTTCTTAAGAGCTGATATGGCAGTTGCAATCAAGCTTAACAAAAGCAACGTCCCATCTTTCCATTTTATTTTTTATTGACTTTGGCCTCACCAGTTGCCAGCATAGACTTATAAGAACTCTTGAGCACAAGGCAGCCCCTTACAAAGAGTTCTTTCATATCAGCAAACTCACTGATAGTTGCAGTTGGACAGGGCGGAGACTGCCAAACAAAGACAGTGAAACACATGCTACCCTAAAGAGACAAATCTCACATGGTGAGGCTGGTATTTAGTCCTTTAGCCAGTCACCATCCTGAATCTCCAAATTCACAGACACCCACCATTCCATAGAATTCCATAGAATTCTCCTCCATAAAACATAACAAAAAATCATTTAAGCTTTGAAGGTATCACTCATATTTTTCTAAGTATGGGACTGCATTTGTTTTTTCCAGCTAAGAACAACTACTTCCTTAGACTTCTGTAATTTCTTCTAATGTCTCCCCTAGAACTACCAGTTTGCTTTCTTTTCCAGGCTATTTCTCACAAAGAAGCACAATTTTCATTACTTTGTTAACAAGCACTGCTATGCATGCAATGGGCAGTGGAAATAGAGTCATGCTTAAATGCGGATGCAAGGCCAGTGCAGACACTTGCTCCTGCCCAGGAGTTTCTCCCCTGTAGCTACGGTCTTCTCCTTGGGTCTGCGTTATCCAATACAGAGGCCACTACCCATGTGAGCTATTTAAATTTCCGTAAATTAAAAATTCAGTTCCTTAGTTGCACCAATCACATTTTACATTTCCATCACAGGAAGTTCAAGTGGATGGTGGTGTCCTAGGTGATCCCATTCATTGAAATGCTGACAATGTCCACATTTACATCTCCAGCCCAGGCCTGATCCTGACCCTCAGGCCTATGAATCCAGCTGTGTACTCAGTGTCTCCTCTTAAGTAAGTCTATTCATAGCAATCTCAAATTTACACATCCAAAACAGAACTTGTGATTTTCAACACCCTCACATCCACCGTAACAGCACCAAAACCTGTTCTTTCCATATTCTTATCCTCCTCAGTAGATGGCACCACTGTTTACACAATGGTTCAAGCCAAAATTTGAGGAAATCACCTTAAGTTCTCCTTTTCCCTCACCTTTTGCATATATCTAATACAGTGGCAAGTTTTGTTGGTTCCACCTCCAAACCAGGAAGTGATTGCAACCACTTCTCACCATCTCCCCACTCCACCATCCTGGCTCATGCCACTGTTAGCTTTTACCTGGACCACCAGATCCACCCTCTGACTGGTCTACTGTTTCCTCTTGCATCTCCCTTACCCCACCTACTTCCCACAGCGCAGCCAGATGTTCTATAAAAATGTAAATAGGCTCATACATTCTCCTGCTTTAAACTCTCCTATGGCTTCCCATCATATTCAGAATAAAACCCAACTCCTAACTATGACCTACAAGACCCTCTGACAATGCCTACATTCAAATCCAGGATCTACCCCTTATTAGCCGGGTGACTTTGGGCAAGTTCATCAAGTTGTTATGCCTCAGAGTCTTCATCTGCAAAATGGGAGTGATGATAATATTGCCTGCCTCCTAGAGCTGTTGAGAAGAATAAATGAGTTCACATAAGCAAAATACTCAGAAAAGTGTCTGGCACCTGGTAAGAGCTATATAAATACATGTTGCTATTATTATTACTTAAAACAATACCTCAAACATAGTAAGCACTCAAGAAATATTTGTTAAATAAGTACTCCAAACTGTCAAGACCATCCTTCAACTGCACGGGTTATGAGTTGAGCAGAATTTGCCAAAGCAGCATATGGGATGCAAGGACTTCACTGTGTGTGTGTGTGTGTGTGGGGGGGGGGTTATATGTATATTTCAGCCCCATCCTGTGTGCATGTGCACATTCTGTAAGAGAAGAAAAGCCATATCTGTCCCAAGACTGTTGTATAGCAAGAGGCAATTTGTAAATATGGGGGTATTTAAACATCTTTAAAGTGTGACTAGAAGCACTATTTGCAGCTGGAACTCCTAAAGGTGGCTCTGAACTGGATCTCTTTTTAGGGTAGATCATTGTTAAAAATGTTTTCAGATGAAAACGCCCCAGTCAGAAACACGCCCCTCCACCCTGCCTCTTTAATTCACTCACAGAGACATAACAAACTTAAGAAGAAAGGCTGAGATATGTTTGCAATTGGAAATTTTTTTTCAGGAAATGATTTGGTATAGGAACATCATTCCCATGCCATTAACTGCCGACTCTGTGCCAACTGTTTGTAAAAGTGAATGTGCAAACTGCCCAGTTCAGGCCTGACCCCCGCCCCGTGGGGCCCCATTAGTGGCCACTTTCCCAAAATAGCCTTGCTTTGGAGGTTCCATTTCCATCAAACCAAAGCAGGACCCAGCAGAAGCCCCTCGCCAATCCTCGCACTCCGAAAGAGAAAGAGCTGCAATTGAGTTTTCTCGGCGCAGAATGCGGATATGATATCCCCTGAACCTCCTCTCACGATCTAAAAAACTAGGTCCGAGTGTGCAGCCCTCCGTGTCTCACAGCACCATTAGTCATAACTTAATAAACAGATTAAATGCCCGGCTGAAGGTCGGGCTCGGGAAAGCAGCGAGATTGCCTCAACTCCTGAAGCGCTCGTCACGAGAAAGGGGGCTTTAATATTCTGGGAAACACAGTCTGACTCCTGGTCTAGCTGCGCAGCAGAAAGTACACGGATGGGCTTTGGAGTTTGAAAGAGCAGGATTTGAATCCTACTTTTATTTTTATCAGCCGTGTGACCTTATGTAAGTGGCTTAACCTCCCTGAAATTCCGTAAGGAACAATTCTCTCTAAAACAAGGGTATAGCTGACACTGCTGGTTTCCTCCCCAATATGTACCCTTTTTCTCAGCTGAAAGAGCCTTCGTTTTATGCCAGTATACACCCTCCCTCCTAAGCCTTAAGGTAAGGTCCTGATTGGTTTACAGGAATCATGATGATCTCAATCCCTGTAGTAATGGTTGGCTCAAGCACTGACATGTTAATGCTGGTCAATGAGCTGTGAGAAATTTCCAGAAGCTTCTAAAAATAGTTTTCCTCCATTTTAAAGAGAGGCCCAAGGAAGGGAAGGCATCTTTCTCCTTCTAATTGTTATTGTATCAGGAGGTCATGCCCAGATTTGCTGCAGCCATTTTGTAGCCATGAGGTGAGTGAGCCCAGGGAAGAAGCTGATTATGCTGAGGTTGGCAGAGAAGAAAGGTAGAAAGAAGGGATTCGTGTCGATACTTTTAAGCCACCACGCCTGGAACCACTTTAGCTCTATATATTTTGTTATAGGAGATAAAATAAATGCCCTTATTGTTTAACCCAGGAGAAGAGGTGTTTTTTGGGCCTTGGAGCCCAAACTACCTGATACATGCGGACACCCAGGATTCTAAAGTCAGTGAGTGGATAGAGTAGGTGTACAATGGATGGCAATTTTCCCCTCTTTTTTTCCCATGAGGAACAGAATAGTTACAGGCATCTCTTATACCCAAGATATGTAAAGGGACTCAAAGAACACCAAGGGGAAAATGAATTTGGAGAAAAGAATGGACAGGTCTCTAAAAGGCCAGTAACTTCATTCATTCAACCAATAAACATTACTGGGCACCTCCTCTGAAGCAGACCCCATGCCGACACTAGGGATACAAGTTTGGGAATCTGACACAGGCCCACCTCAGTCGGCTCATAGGCGGTGGGAGAGGTAGGCCCATGGACACAATGTGCAGTGTGCTCCCCTCAGAGGTGATAGATATGTAACTGGAAGAGGGCTGCAGGAGCTCAGGTGGAATGAGTCTAACTTTGGATAGGGAAGATTGGGAAGGATTCCCAGAAAAGAGAAAATTTGAGCTGGATCTTAAAAAATGTAAATTTTCATCCAGCAGGGTATACTACAAAAGGCACATGTTGAGTAAAAATAGCAAGATGTGGAAGAAAGTGCAGGTGTTCAGAGAGTGGTGAATGTGTCTGAACATAGGGAATATGGGGGGTGCACAGGGGACAAGGGAGGAAGGGACAGGTAAATAGGTGGGGTCCA